TCTTCAATGGAAAGAGAAGAAAAATAGTTTGAGTAACTTTATTCAAGGAGAGGGACATTATTGGGTCTGAACTGAAGCCCAAAATCCCCAGGCATGGATCATCAGCACAGACTGTAGGCCTTTCAAAAATTGGTACTAGTTAGGCCCATTTACACAAGTTAAATAAGTAATATTATTTATAGAGGCCCACTACTAATTAGTAACAGTTATCAGATACTGCTGGGTGTGACCCAAGTCTTTTTCTTTTTCCCTGGTGAAATGATAATGTTATGGGGATATTTAAAAAAAGAATTAAAATAATATTATTTTAAATAAAACTCAGTCAAATCATCCGGTGAATCAACAGTTGGTTTGTTTTAGAGTTTTAAAAATGTTTTTTTTTTTTAGATTTTTTACTTTAAATTATTAATTTATAGGATTTTCAATTTTAAAAATCACTACTATCACGTACCAAACGAACTCCAAATCAAGTATAGTTACGTTGTTTTTCGAACTACGTGACGAATGAAACTCAACTCGGAACAAGTTTTGATCCGGTGACTTGCCGGGTGGACTGTCGGAATTAATAACCATGACCAAAAGTCAACCAACGGGAAACTTCCTTTCATTTTCTTTGAAAACTATGAATGGAGTCTGTCATTTAAAGACCAAGACTTTCCAATTAGCGTAAAAAACATTCCAGGTCATCCAGCAAACAAAATAGTCTCTGCAGATAGATTGAGAGAGGGAGATCATGTCAGGAGGAGGCATAGCTCGTGGTCGCCTTGCTGAAGAGAGAAAGTCACGGGGTAAGAATCATCCCCACGTATGTTCTCTTGTCTTCCATTTTTTCCCCTCTATAACATCTATCTATCCATCTATCTTGTCTTCAATTGAGTCTTATATTTGTGAATTTTCGGGTTAGGGTTTTGTGGCTAAGCCTGATAATGCACAAGATGGTACTCTTGATTTGATGGTGTGGAAGTGCATCATACCTGGCAAACCCGGGGTTTGTAATTTTCTCTATCTCTTTCTCTGGCTTTTTTCTAATTATTATTATAGATTTTCACGGTTTTATATCTGATTTTCATCAACTGATACGATTTATTTTATTTTTTACTGTAATTAAGCTCGATTAGCGAAAAGGTAGTTGAGATTATGGAAAATATAGGATTAATGATTGCATAAGTGGGAACACATGAATTATAAAAAAGTTTAAGTCAACGTGCTATTAGTAAATCGGTGCCTCAGTTTGAGATTTTGCAAATTGTTGCTGCCCAAATAAATAAATTCTGTAGGATATCTTTGGGTTTGAAAGAAGTATTTTCTTGTTCTGGTTCGATAGAAGTATTGTGTAAGAGATTGGAAAATATGAAAGGACCTATAAAGTGGGAGATGTTTTGATGTGATAGCTCTTTTATTGTGCAGATCAATTGGCATTTTTATTCTTTACGAGAGTACCTGAGTCGTGATTTCTATTTTAACCTTTTTAAGTTGCATTTGGTGCTGATTTGATTTATCTAGAGATTGATATGTATCATTGTTGAGCTCTTTACATCATCTTTCCCTCTTACATAGAAAGAAAGCGCTGTTTCTAGCTTCCAGGTGGTCAGGAAATGCATGTTCATAAAAGTCTGCATTGCATGTGGTTTACTCAACGATCTCATCTGAATCTTCATGTCCTTAATATGCGTAGACAGATTGGGAGGGTGGCTTCTTCCCCCTCACGCTTCATTTTAGCGAGGACTACCCAAGCAAACCTCCAAAGTGCAAGTTCCCCCCAGGTTTCTTCCATCCTAATGTCTACCCTTCTGGAACTGTGTGCTTATCTATCCTGAATGAGGACTATGTAAGTAGTTGGCTCACTCTTTGATATGTCACATATTGCAAAACGCCCAGTTTCTAAAACTATTTTTCTAGGGCTGGAGACCAGCCATTACTGTGAAGCAAATTTTAGTTGGCATTCAGGATTTGCTTGATCAACCAAATCCTGCTGATCCTGCGCAAACTGATGGCTACCAGCTTTTTGTCCAGGTTTTTGATCTCTATATCTCAATCGTCAGCTTTGATTTGATTGGTTTTGTATTGAATTTCTATCTTAAGCAACATGACCGTGACTTTGCAGGACCCAACTGAGTACAGGAGAAAGGTGCGCCAACAAGCCAAGCAATATCCACCTGCGCTCTGATGCAATGGTTGCTTCATCATGTCTGCAACTTATTAGCTAGATTCCATCATATATGTCCAAACCTCGTTTAAGTAACAGAGTGATTTAGTGTTGGTACTAGACTACGAGTTAATTGTCAAGTAGCTACGCTTCCCATTTCTGCACCAGAGGATTTGCAGCATGACAACTTTTTGATATAAAACCTATATCGATTGCCCATTAAGATTGTTATTTATACATATGGCGAAGCAGCATGATATACTGGAAATTGGCTGTATGGGAAATCATGACTGATGCTTCTGAATTTGGTTAAAGCAAGTGTAAGCTTTTGAACAACTTTATCGGATGCTATGTTATATTTGAGAGTGTGTATGATCTGTATTACATACTCGTTTTTTCACCTTTTTATGTGTTTCAAGCATGCAATAACACTGAATAATAATACTATTTGAGTTAGACGTCAACGTAGGTTCATGCAAATCTAGGGAAGTAAATTGACAGACTTGAGTGGTTTTCGGAGATGGTTTTTGTCCTTAGGATGGCCATCGGTGAAGAATGCTGCAGCCGGCCTCTAATCTTTTTTGCATTTCATGACATGGATTCACAATTGTTTAAAGCTATCACGCTGTATTTATTGAACTGTACTGCAGGACTCTTTAATTCTTCTGAGCACATTTGACACAAATGTGTTGTCCAATATTCATACAAGATTAAGATAAGATGGCCTGGAATACTTTTATTTTGTAGTGACTGCAGGTGTGTGTGAAGCATAACTGGGTCATTGATATTTGTTAAAAAGGTATGCAGAGGACCTTACTTTCTTTCCTCCAGTGACTGCCATTGCGGAGAAGAGTGATTCACCTTGATTCCCCCTGTTCTGTTGTGTTTTTATACGCTCTAATGTCCTCATTCGTTTCTACCTATTAATGGTGATTCTTCATTTGCCCACACTTTTCCGAGTCCAGTTGCCAACCGGCATTCCCAATTTAAGCACCTGAGTTGTCAGCTTCTTATTGTAAAATTGCTCGGCAAAAACTGGCCATGTGACAACGTGTACACAACACATATGCAGAGTTCCAGCCGCAGGGAGTATAAAACTCTCCAGCTGCTGGATTGTCCATTCTTTGCACCTGCGGTGGCAATACCTTTATAGTGAATCCTTTTGCCACTTTTCTTCAATTCATCCTCGTATTTTTTCTGGCAGCCGCCAGTCTTCCAGCTGATACTGGTTGTTGTTATCTTCTGTCAGATTTCAGGATTTTTCCTACAGCCCAATTGAAAGACTGCCTTGAATCTTCAAGTGCACTAGCAATTTCTGATATTTGATTCTTGCTGAATCTGATGAGGCTTCCAAAACAAATGCAGAGAACGGACTTTGGTTTCTTACATCCAGCCAGTGCAGGCAACTGTGTTTACATACTGAAGCCTTGTCACCTCTTTCTAGTCTATCATCTGCATTTCTGTTGAACAGAGATACGGGACCCGAGCCATGCTTTTATTCCAGTGACTTTTCTGAAATGATCAGCACAGGCTAGCTCTAACTCATAAAAGCTGCTGCCAATGAGCATGTAGGTCAACTAGCAGTAGGATCCCCTCTTCTCAAGAAGTCTCGTGTTCGAGCCTCTCTGTAGTAATAATAATAAAAATTCATAAAAGCTGTTGATATACACTCCAAAGCTCTTCCTTTCAGCCTTCTTCGGTTCATCAAACAAAGAAGAGAAAACTTCGTTGTCAGGGACAAATGATTCTGTCTCAGATGCAACATTGCCGTGAGGTTGACAATAATCAAAGCTGTTTGCAACACCAAGATTGACGAATCCACTGCCACTAAAGGCAAGCCTTGGTATGCCAAGCTCAATGGCAACATCAACAGTCCATGGACAGTGACAATCAGAGGCAATGCAAGATCATTTTAACCTGTGGTTGCAGCAACTCTATTCCATGAAATAATTTTAAAGCCATTTTCGGGGCCCCTGTGGAGGATAAATTTTCGCAGCTTTCAGGCAAACCAGCTTTTTTAACAGATTGAGTAGCACGGCAATCTGTATGATCAGCACGGATGTTCACAGCATAAACCATATTTTCGCTCCTTTAACTTCCAAATGTTTCATAATATAATTTAAAATTTCTCAATATCTACCTTTTAATTTTGCAAAAAATTCCAACTTTTAATACCAATTCTAGATACCTGAGGCTATTTTATGCAAATAAGGTATTTTGGTGCACAGTTTATTATCTTGAAATAGAAGAAATAGAGACACTAAGATAATGAGAAAAAAATATATTTGGTTGAATAAACTTAATAGAAATATGAAATAAATCTTTAGGACAGATTTAGAAGGGATTTATGTACTTTTAAAATAAAATAAAAAAAAAACAAGTGTAATATATCTCAATTATTTTCATCCTTTCTATCATTTTTAGCAATTGAACAGTCTCCCGAGAAAGTAATGAATGTTGCCATGAAGATTCTACATCGAAGAATCGCCGTTTTAAAAAATAATAATTATAAAAATTCTCTTATAATTTTATTTGAATTTTACTTTCACTCTGTACTTTTATAAATTATACTTTTTATCCTATAATTTATATATTTAGTAACAATTTACATCTTTAATAATGGATTTATTTTGAAGTTTTTAATTTAATTCTGGATATAAAACATAATTTATAAGAATGCCAAAAAACAAGTGAAATTTAAATCAAATTATAGAAGTTTTTGTAATTATTCTTAATAATAATTAATGTCCAAAACTCGCCTGACAAAATTGTGGGCTTTTTTAAATTTGGTAGAGAGGCCCACTGCTGATCAATCGTCCCAAAAGTCAAAACTAATTTCATTTTAATTGCAAGCTGTGAATGAGGTGTCGGTCATTTGGTCTCTTCCAAGTCAGAGTAAAAAACACTCCAAGTCATCCATCATCCAGCAAACAAGGTAGTCTCTGCAGAGAGATAGAGAGTGAGAGATCATGTCAGGAGGAGGCATAGCTCGTGGTCGTCTTGCTGAAGAGAGAAAGTCATGGCGTAAGAATCATCCCCACGTATGTTCTCTTTTCTTCCATTTTTGCCCCTCTTTAACATCTATCTATCCATCTATCTTATCTTCTGTTGGGTCTTATTTTTGTGAATTTTCGGTTAAGGGTTTTGTGGCTAAGCCTGATAATGCACAAGATGGTTCTCTTGATTTGATGGTGTGGAAGTGCATCATACCTGGAAAACCCGGGGTTTGTAATTTTCTCTAGCCCTCTCTCTGGCTTTTTTTTTTTTAATTATTATTATAGATTTACACGGTTTTATTTCTGATTTTCATCAACTGGTATGATTTATTTTATTTTTTACTGTAATTAGTCTTGATTAGCGAAAGGGTAGTTGAGATTGGTGGGATAATATAGGAGTAATGACCTTGGATAATAAAAAAAAGTTGAAGTCAACGTATTATTTGGTAGGTGGAAGGCTTATGTAGGAAATTTGTTTTTGTTGTTGCCCGAATAAATAAATTCTTTAGGATGTCTTTGGGTTTGAAAGAAGTGTTTTCTTGCTCTGGTTCTATAGGAGTATCTCTTACTCGATTTTTGTTTTGTTTTTGGTTTACGGGAAGGGGTTTCTTCATATGGGATGGGAGTTGCAATGCCTTGATGGTCCTTTTTGTATCCCTTCTCATTCCTTTCAAGGCTCCAAGCCAGAGCCGCTAAACTCAGAGCTTAGAAATGCCATTCATGTCAGCGTCCCTTTTGGTAATGGACTGTTCTATGCAGCTTAAGGCCACTGTACTTTTTAGTATATACTACAAGTTTGAAAAATGAATCCTAATATGCCACATTAGAAGTTGATCCTTTTAAACTATTTTCGAGATCCTCAAAGATTGAGATGTTGTATAGGATTGGAAAATATGTAAGGACCTAAGAAGTGGGAGAGATGTTTTGATGTGATAGATCTTTTATTGTGTAGATCAATTGGCATTGTTATTCTTTATGAGAAGACCTGAGTCGATATTTCTATTTTAACCCTTTTAAGTTGCATTTGGTGCTCATTTGATTTATCTGCCGTTTGATATGCATCATTGTTGACCTCTTTACATTATCTTTCCACCCCCTCCTACAAAGAAAGAAAGAGCCGTTTCTAGCTTCTAGGTTATCAGGAAATGCATATTCATAAAAGTCAGCATTACATGCTGTTTGCTCAACGATCTCATCTGAATTTTCATGTCCTTAATGTGCACAGACAGATTGGGAGGGTGGCTTCTTCCCCCTCACGCTTCATTTCAGTGAGGACTACCCAAGCAAACCTCCAAAGTGCAAGTTCCCCCAAGGTTTCTTCCACCCTAATGTCTACCCTTCAGGAACTGTGTGCTTATCTATCCTCAATGAGGACTATGTAAGTAGGCTCACTCTTTCATATGTGACATATTATGTAGCACAGAGTTTCTAAACACTGAAATCTTTTTCTAGGGCTGGAGACCAGCCATTACTGTGAAGCAAATTTTAGTTGGCATTCAGGATTTGCTTGATCAACCAAATCCTTCTGATCCTGCGCAAACTGATGGCTACCAGCTTTTTGTCCAGGTTTTTTTTATCTCAGCATCTCAACCATCAGCTTTGATTTGATTGGTTTTGTATTGAATTTCTATTTTAAGCAACATGACCGTGACTTTGCAGGACCCGACTGAGTACAGGAGGACGGAGCGCCAACAAGCCAAGCAATATCCACCCACGATCTGATGCAATGGTTGCTTCACTATGTCTGCAACATATTAATTAGATTCCGTCATATATGTCCAAACCTCGTTTAAGTAACAGAGTGAGTTAGTGTTGCTACTTGACTGCGAGTTAATTGTCAATTGCAGATATGCTTCCCCTTTCTGTACCGGAGGGTGCTTTTTTAGTCATGCTTTGCTACATGTTCCTGCATTCATGACAACTTTTGGATATAAAACCTATCTTGATTGCCCATTAAGATTGTTATTTATATCCCAGCGAAGCTCTGGCAAACCTTGACTGATACTGCTGAAATTGGTTAAAGCAAGTGTAAGCTTTTGAACAGCTTTATCATATATTATGTTATATATGAGTGTGTACGATCTAATCTACGCACTCCTTGTTTTTAACCTGTGTTTTTATGTGCTTAAAGGCGCAAGCATGCTATAACACTAAATAAAGCGTACTGCTGTTTGGGTTGGATTTTAGAGTAGGTGCTTGCGAGGCTAGTAAGGAAAATCTTCCGCATTCTGCGTGGCCTGCAGGGATGTTCACGGTGTAAGCTATATTTACGTTCCTTCAACTTACAGATGTTTCATTTCAGTCCTTGTAATACAACTTAAAAATTTTCAATATGGACCTTATGATTTTGTAAGAATTTTCAGCTTTAAATCTCAACATTAAATAACTGGCTAGTTGTACTAACTTAGGCTTTCCGGAGCTCAACTGTTCACTCAAAGACTTCCCCTTTGCATGAATTTCATCAATTGTACAAAAAAGAACAGAGATTTTGGAAAGCAAGCATAACCCTTTATTGATAAATTGAAGCTTTATCCTTGCATCTTGAGGTGAAAGCCCCCTTACGTTTGTTTTTATTTAGATAATTGGATGTATTCACTGAAAGGATGGATACAACTGTCATTTGTGATCAAAATTGACAATACCTCAGATATATTGATCTGAGATTGTCATGTTATGCATTGTCAAATAGGATAGAGGTTAATGTCACAAGCTTTTGACAAGAAAACAATGTATTGCTAATCCTTAACCTTTCAGAAATCCTTCAACGGTGGTTATGAGCGATTTTTCTCACTTTTTTAGACCTCTGGGTTCCGTGGAAATGATAACTACAAATCGAAATGTGATATCTTCTAATAATACAAGGTATCATATCTTATTTTTATTGAACTCCATTGCTTTAAAAAATTGATCTAAAAACTTGTGATTTAAAATCTAACTAGGATCGAGGTTTAAGTTACGTTAGAAAATACACTAACCTGATAAAACCGATAAAACTTATTTGAGTTTTCAATGGCCGTCAAAACTCGCTCGGGCCAATTCCAAGAAACTATTTTTTAAAGAATAAATATTATCATTTTGATAAAAATAATTTACTCAAAACAATACAGTGATTCACAACTTAATTAGATGATTTAATGCACTAAATCTCTTCCAAGGTAAGTCAGTAGACGAGATCTCATAATTATACCAGACATGGCATGTTAATGTCAAATATTATCTCGTTCAGACAGGGCAGCAATCCCGTCATGGAATTAAATTAACTCTTTGTTTTCTCCCTTTTGAAAAATCCTCAGTTCAGCCCACGTGTCGTGTTAATTCACCAAGCGGGCTTCTATTAAAATAAATCTATTCAATCTGCTCCTGCCCTCGTCAACATTTGTCAATTCAACCAAATTGATTGACAAATGAAACCCGACCCAAATCAGGCCTTTTCTAGTCTCGTTTTCAAGTCATGGTAATTATTTTATTCATAAGGCGAAACTTCTATATCATTTTTATTTTAGTTTTTAAAATAAACATGAAAATAAAAGGAAAAAATAAAAAACTTCACCGGAAGAGTTTTCAGGCCCCCCCCAGAGGGTTCCTTTCCTCTCCTTTTCGCAACACGTTTAAGACTTCAATAATTTAGCTGCCTTGATTTTGAGGTGGTCAGCAAGTGACTCGACGCCATTTTAATGCCGGAGTCCATCGGCAACAATGACCTAGCTAGTTTTCCACCTTTCTTAGTTTCGAATATTAATTTATATCTTCGAACCCACCAACTAGAATCTTGACTTGTTCTTGGATTAAGCAGAAATGGTGGTAAAAAAATATATGGTTGGTTGCTGCATCCTATCTTGACCTTTGAAGTGTTCCACTCAGAAATGAAGATCAGACTGTTTGCTCTGATTTTGCTTCGTGCTTTCCTGTGTTAGAAGTATTCTTTCTGGTGAAAATATCATGCTTGTTTTATTAGCATTCGTTTGTTTCTGTTTTCAAAGTGATTCTTGGATTTTTCTTATTTATTTATTTATAAAGGTAAAAATTAATGTTTTTTAAAGTGTTTTTTTAGTGTTTTTTGTATACAGTCAAAAATACAAATAAAAGTATTATTTTAATTAAAAAATATTTTTAAAAAGTACTTTACAACACAATATCAAATACATATAAAAATCTTTTAGAAAATAGTTTAGATGTTAAAATAATATATAGCTTTGTTTCTCACATTTTCATTTTGGGTTGGAATGAAAGAATATTATTATAGATTGATAAATGAAATAGTTCGTTCATGATGTTAATTTAAAAAAAAAACCAATTGACGAGGGCATTGTTTTTCATGAAATAGCTTGAGTTTATGATGTTAATGAAAGAATATTATTATAGATTGATAAACTAAAATTTGTAATTGATTGATTTTTTTTTATAGAAATATATGATTGAAAAATAATATAATATATAAATACATGTTGATAGGTTTTTCTTTATATAATCAATCTAAATTTATATATATAAAAAGCTGCCTGAAATAAAAGAAAAATTGTTATTATTAGAAAAATTATAGTAATCTGAAATAAAAGAAAAATTGTTATCATTAGAAAATTTATAGTAAAAAAATTTTTTTTTTATTTTTTTAAAAATTTATTTTATTTTATTTTTTTATTTAGTATTATGAGGGTATTTTTAGTTTTTTTTATATAAAGTTTGTAATAAACTTTTTGGCAAGCGGGACTGTGATAAATAAAAATTAAATATTTTAGTTGTTTTTTTAAAATTATATTGTTCTTGATTTTTGAGTGCTTTGACTTCTAATAAATCTTATTATTCTTTGTTGCCATTTATATAAGTTGATATCAAAATTTAATAATTTTTTTGGTTAATTGTTGCATATTGTTAAATAATTATAATTATAAATAATCACAAAATATACATAATTATATAGAAAAGGAGATAAGGAGGTTTCTCATTTAAAACAAAGATCAAGAATTAATGTGTTATTTTTGTAGTGTCAATTGTTGGTATTTAAAATTCTAATGGTGGGATCTATGATGGGATAATTCATATAAAAATATTATGTTAGGAATTTATGATTAATATAAAGATATTAGAAGCTCATATTGTAAAGTGTCACAGCAACCAAAATTTTATTTATTCATCTAACATATAAAAATATTATGTTAGGAATTTATCATCAACATAAAGATATTAGAAGCTCATTGTAAAGTGTCATAGCAACCAAAATTTTATTTATTCACCTAATCTTATAAAGTATATTTTTAAAGAGATAAAATTTTTTCGAATTAAAAAAAAAGTGTCACGACATATAAAAAATATTCATAATGGAGAAAAATTTCTGATTGAAATCTAACTTGATAATGAATTCCTTTGAGAAGACTGATGTAAATGTTTTTTTAAATAAATTTTTTGTTAATTAATTTTTATTTTTTTATTTTTTTGTTGTTTATTATTATACCTTTTTGTTTTTTTTTATTTAAAAAAATAGTTTTCTTATTTTATTTTTCATATTTAGTATGATGAGAATTTTTTAGATTTTAGTTTTTAAATAACGGTTTGAAATAAACTTTTGATAAGCAAGACAGTAAAAATTAAATATTTTAAATATCTTTCTATAAGCATGGTGTTCACTCTACCTACCCATTTTCTTTTTGATCTTCGTTGTCTGGGCCAATCTCTGCATTCGAGCGATTCGTGCCATCCTTGGTTCTGGCTCTAGTCGCCGGACTAGGAGCAGCTCTTCCATCCGCAGCCTCACTCTCGCGTCTTCAATCCAAGCAAACGCTCTATCGATCCGAAACTCGTCTTTGGTTCAATTAGCCGAGCAAGTGTTCTTGGTTTTCAAAGCTTTTGATTTATAACAGAACTTCATTATTTTTTGCTCTTGTCTCCGGCAATTTTCTTTACTAAATGAAAAGATAAGAAAGGATGGACAAATGAATATGCTTGCCATATGCAATTTCAAAGTAGCAAGTAATTATCGTTTCATGGAAAGCTGGGCAGCTTGTAGTTGAAATTTTGAAGCAACCCAGAAAGGAACGAAGGCGAGGGAAAGAAAAGAAGAAGGGAAAAAGGTGCATCATCTTTGTGCCCTTCGTCCCTTTCATTCATTACTTTTTCAAGTATCAGAGAGCACCAGTTTTGTTCTCCGAAGCTTATAATTCATAAACAACGTTTCTCATCCTCCAATTATATTTGCATAATTTTGTGGATTTATTTGGAGTGGTTTTTTCATATTTAGAATTACGGTACAATTATTTATTAAGCACGGCAAAATAAGTCAATTCAATGACCGATAATCTAAAACTTGCTTGGACAAAATTGACCTAATCAAATTCAATGAATTAACAACCTAATTGAGATTCAATTGAGTTAAGTTAAAGGATTTTTTTTTAAAGTATTTAAAAAATCATTTTATTTATATAAAAAACTCTAAAATAATATTATTTAAATTAATTGATTATGTGTGTATTTGAGACTTGGTAGTAATTGCTTTTTAAAGTAATTTTTATTTTAAAATGTATTAAAAAATATTTTAAAAAAAAATTATTTTTAACATAACACATGAAAATGATATGAAAACATTTTTTTTAAAAAAATTATTTTTAACATAACACATAAAAATGATATGAAAACATAAAAAAATATTAATTTAAATAAATTTAAATAAATTAATTTTTTTTTAAATACTTCTAAAACACTGTATGAATGCTAGTGTCCTGGCATTAAATAACAGGAAAGGTAGAGCACAGAATTATGGTTTTTCTTTTATTTACCAAAAGAAAATGACTGACAGAGAGACAACGTCAAAGAATATGGTGGTGGCTGTACAAATTCATAAATGTATTTTTGATAATATACCGAAAAAGAGAAGTATCAGAACTCCTCGCAAAACCTGTTCCTATCTAAGCATTTCAAAGAGTATTGGCTGAAACTATTGAGAAATCCATCCATATACAGCAAATCCATGCCACTCACACGGAACAGAGGAAACCAATGGTAAAAATGGTTAGTGATGCTCACGTCTGGCTGCTAAGGCCTGGTGTTTGGAGATCTTCCAGTGCCATTATCCAAGACAATTTCAAATAAATCAGCCTCAGACTCGTCATCGAAGTCAAGCCCTTGATTATTAGCTCCACTGATGTGGCTGTCCTTGGTGGTGCTACTATTGAGCCACTGAGAATCGATTCTTCCCATTGAGAAGAGCTCCATGCTATCATCATAGCCCAAAGTAGGGGACTTTACGAGAGGGCCAATGAAGCAAGGATTTGGTGTTCTTTGAGCATTTGCACGTGCATAACTGAAGGCACTTTGTCCGAAATTGACAAGAACCAATATGTTATCGTTTGCTGCAATTGTTGGGTAGAGGGGTGTCCCGAATTCCTCTGACTTGCAATGAACTACATGTAACAGCTCTCCATCTACTGTGAAACACACTTGTTTATTCCTAGGATCAAATCCACAGCCAATTACTTTATCTGCTCTTGCCCATTCTGCTTTCTCGGATTCAAACACAAGCTCCATACCTTAAAGAGAGGAAACCATGCGAATTGATTAATATTACTCTAAGCAAATGCTCAAGCTTTTGAATTTAATAAACCTGTAAATTAACTGCGAAAGTTGATTCATGATTTAAAAATGTAAGACCTTTTCCAAAAGGGTGATTAGAAGAATAAAAAGAGAAATAATTTACCATCAAGATAGAGAGAACCATTGGAGTTGAATCCAACTGATCCTGGATAGCTTCCAGGAAGTTTCAAGGGAAGAGAGCCTCCAATAGTGAGCCCAACAGATAGCATAACTGCTGAACCTTGACAATCATCTTTGCCGGCGAGCTTTAATTCTTCAATTTTGCTGATTCTGCTGCTGCTTACATGCACTAAAGATTCTGAATTCGCTTTTGCGTTGGGTTTTTCTTGGATGAGTTTAGCCCTCTCACCTTCCTTAACCTTGCCAGCAGATTCTTGATCGTCGCCGTGGGAATACAAAACTGTGATCTCAAAATAGGCTTCTTGGGGAAAAGAAGAGTTCCCCAGTGGAGGCCCTGGTAAAGGCAAAGCAGTTCTAATTACAGAAGCAGCAGACAGAGAAGGATTGCTTACATTAACCTTCTTTAACCCCGAATTCAGCCTTATCTTCTGCATAAAATCAGCTGATCCTTGACAAACTTCCCAGCTTATCTCTGTATCTGTTTCTCTTCCAAGATCACCGGCGGCACATAAACCTAGCATGGATGATCGCGTGGAAGGAGATGGCATGTAGCTTGTAAAACAAAATCTAGACCATCCATTTTCGACCGCGTCAGTAATAAGCGCCGGGTGATCAGCCCAATTGAACAAAGGTCTTGTAGAAACCCCACGACGAAAAACATAATAATTTCCTCTTCTTTTGGTTTCATATTGACCAGGTTGATGATGTATACTCCCTTGGTGAAGCTTTGCGATCCCATCCTGCAAGCTTGAAGTTCCATTAGTTCTTAACGGATCAACAGTACCTCTACGGTTTTTGAAACAAAAACATCGCCAAACTGCCAAGGCAAAAATCATTGAAGCAACTACAGCCGCACCCCCTGCCCACCAAATATGTATCAACACGAGCATTTCTTCCTTCTCCTTCAGAAGTTTTTTGCTTTTTGTTCTCTTTAAGATTAATTGCGGGTTTTCTTGAAGATTTCTTTTGCAGAGAAAAAACAAACTAAGAAAGAAGAAGAAGAGGGTTGCAAACAAAGAGGGTTTTAGAGGCGTGGACCGTGACTGGTTCAAGAAAGGCAAGAGGGTGGTGTAAGCAATGAACAGGGCCACAAATGTGAATCAAAGGAGGTTGGCTATTGCAACTTTTCAAGAGACTAAGAGAGATGTTGTCATAAACGTTTTTCTTCGGAGTCCAATTCCTAGTTATTAAGTACGGCCGACTCGACAGTTTAATCCATGATTCAAGTCATGCCAAGTTTTATAATAATAATAAAAAAATGATCATCATTATGGCATCAAATAAATTAATTCTAATAAAAAACATTAATTAAAAAAATTAATCTAAGTTAACTTAAATAATCTAAATCCACCGTAGAAATACAAGTTTAATAAAAACAATCAAATCCAGAATTGATTAATATAAACAGACAGCCTATCTTCATTAAAAAAACGCGTATGTTGTTTCTTTCGAGTTTGAAACAAGAGAAACGAGAGAGAGGGATGCTTGTAATTAAGCACTTCTAGAAAGCCGAATGTCCAAGTCCAAATACCAATTCTATTTTCTTGTCTGGTATGTGGACTTTTGGGAGGGAACACTTGGGGCTTTTGCCATACCGTCAAGATGGAGACTGTTAAAAAAGTTACAACAAAAGTAGAGCAAAACATTGACACAGGAACAAGGATTTTATCGTAGGATTTGTTGGTAGTTATTTGTCGACTGACAGTTATTTTCAAGTCCCCTTGTTTGTTAATCTAGCAGTTCATAGGATTGGCTTCGTCTTGTCAAATCCTACTCAAAAGATTTATTCGAAAAAGATTTTGGCAACGGAATGGATTCGATTCAATTGTTTTTATTTAAATAAAAATGTTTTATTATATAAATACAATAGAATTTAAGGTTTAGTTAAATACTATTAATTCGTCAAACAAGCTAGGTTTAACTAGTATTGTGAAGATGATGCTGCAAAAAATGCAGAAGATGAGTCTATTTACTCCCCATCATTTTATTTTATTTTATTTTGCCTTTTCCTCCTTGCAGATAATTCAGAATAATATCCTGTTTTAATTGGACATCACTGTTCATAAAGCATGCACATAGAAAATTTGTCTCATTACAAATGAGCAAGGACTCTAGGCTTTGCAAAAGGCTACCTATTCTAGCTAGAATCATACAACGAGGGGACGCCACTAAACATTGTGTTTGCCAAACTGGCTAGGGCTGTGGGGAAAAGCGAACGTGGGGGCTTGGATTTGTATAAATACTTGTTTTCTCGAGAGTCAAGACCTTTATAGCTTTCATTTTGACTGCTTCAAGATTTAATTAAGGACTTAATCCTATTTAATTAACTGCTTAAGCTATCACAAACCCCATTTCTAAAAGACAAAGTCTTTATCTTGTTTTATTCTCTAATGAAAAGTCCAAGCCTCTCATCTTCAATGTTCATGCAATGTTAGTGGGATCGAGAAGCAAGATGCCAGTTTGGCCTCTTTCCAAGTTGACATGTGGAAGTAAGATGCAGCATTGAAAACGCTTGTGCTGATGAATCTTTTTTTTTTATTTTTCTATGATGATGACTTGTATCGATCCAAGAACACCGATGGCGACTGTTTGATTTCTCACCGGTCATTTGTTTGATTGTCAGAATCAGATGGCATGAACTCATGCCAATTTTCATCTTGTTTCTTTGCGGGATTTTTCAAATATATATCAAGGAATTTTGTATGGGATTTGTTAAATGACCAGCCTCCGCTAAAGCCTCCACAAACCCATAACTCATTGACAGTGAGCCCACAGGAGAAATATTCTTAATGGGTGATCATGCAAGCCCTGGCATCGATTTTAAAAATAGTAGCAACCATCTGATTAATAAACAATTATCCTGTTTGATGGTTGTGGGAAAATTTATATTATCATATTTCTTAAGATAACTGCCATGATTGAAGGGGATAATGATTACAGAGAAACCGAAGTTGGAGGGCATCCTTTGTTGTTGGAAAACTATGAACAATCAACAATGCCTGGTTAAACAAAAACTGAGAATTAGTTCTAAAATGAATGTTTTACCATGGTTGTTAATCCATACTTGAAATCTAGGTTATAATTCCACAAAGTCAATTCATTTTTATTTTTAAATTCAAATAATTTTTTTTTCAGATGATAAATTAATATACCAAGTCAATCAAATCAACATTCATTTAATTTATTTTAAAATTTAATTCAAGTAAAGTATCAGATCAAGAGGTTATGGATTGATTTGTTTCATAAGCAAAGTTTAATATCCATGTATTTTATGGAAAAAGCATGAAACATGTTAGAATCTCGGTAAATCAAGGAGAGTTATGCTAATTGAAACATGTCTAAAATTAAAAGATGACTTGGTAAAAGTGAGTTATGGTAATGGCAAATGCTTTTCCTAAAGGAAAAGGAAGGGGGTAAAGATGAGCATTGAAGGAAAGAGTGATAATCAACTGCACATAAAAGCCTTTTATCTTTTCTTTTTATATGATTATCATGATCAACATTCACCAGGCAACGCCATCCAAGTAAGAGCTCCTTGATCTCATCATGTCATACTTGTTGCAGACAAGGGTTAACAGGACAGATCATTGGTTGGTTGAGGAGCTGTCTGAGAGGATATTAATCTGGGACTAACAAACAAAATTGATATGTCATCGAACGTTGAAACTTCTTGATCATCAAATTTAATTAAGGGTCTAAACACGCACAAATCCATAAATTTATGATTGAAGATCAGCATATTTGGTGAGAGAATCTAGACTTCTACATGCTAAGTTCAATGAATACATTCTTCGATCATAGTACTGCCCCCCAACAGTCTCAACTCTCAACAATGAGGGAATCAAGAGTCCTAGGGGTGAGCATGCGTTCATTCTATGGGTTTCAGAGTTTGGTTTAGTTTTTTTTATTTATTTTTAAAAAGACTAAATTAGTTTATGGGTCTTTTTAGTTAGATATTTTTTTATGATGTTTCTTATTAATTTGGTTATGCTCCATTTGGTTTTTCTAGTTTTTAAAATATGAAATTGAATTTAGCTGGTTTTTTTTTAAATTAATCCTTTTTTAGTTGATATTTCAAGTCTTTTTTTTAATTAATTTGATTATTTTTCTCACCCTAAACAAACCTATATATATATATTGCAGGAAAGGGCGATAAATAGCATTAGTTTCTTCATAAGCAAAAACATAAAAAAAAATAGTAGTCACATTTTGCTGAAAGCCCGGTTTAGCAATGTTGACTACTAACAGCCCACTTGACATTCTTATGTTTAAAGCCCATTTTCTTAATACAATCTATCAAAGCCCAGTTCTAATTCTGTCCTCTTGACAATGGATAACCATGATCGGATTTTGTACTCTCCTAATCTAAAATAATCCGAAAAGGTATGGATTTTTATACCCGAATAATCCGGTCATTTCTAGCACCAATAATATTTATAATTCGAATTATAATTCATAAATTTTTAATATATATATTTAAAAATTTAAAAATTATTTATTTATTTCAAGTTAGTTTTAGATTTCAGGATACGAGCCTAAAACCCAACTTTTATACTCGAATTTTTCCGAAACATTATTGAGTCTAAAAATTTCTTTTTATTCAAGCCGGTATGCATTGGCGACGGTTGAAATTGCCATCCCTATCCCCTCTCCTTATCTAGCTGCTGCTGCTCCCTCACCACAGCCAAAAAGATCAGAGAAATTCTCACTACTTTGGGTGAGACTGTGAGAGTGATCTCTTCGCAATCACAAATGAGTCATGACTCCTCTCTGCAAAGCCATAGACACCACCACAGCTTCTCTACTAAAACCCTCAATTCTCCTCCACAGAACACCCCTCAACTTCTGCCACTCTCTCAATTACACCCCTAATCTCAGCAGCAGCAACCTCGCTCTCACTTCAAAACCGCCACAAACCCACCTCCGCCCAATCACCGCCACAGCCAACGCCAGCCACCCAGCTGCGACATCCGAAATCGACATGGTAAAAAACAGACAAGGAATCTACACGTCAAAACAGAACAAAGTTGTTGTTTTATGGGACCTCGACAACAAACCCCCACGTGGGCCGCCGTACCCGGCGGCGGTGGCGTTAAAAACAGTAGCACAAAGATTCGGTGAAGTAATCGACATGTGTGCATACGCTAACCGGCACGCGTTTATTCATTTGCCACACTGGGTGCTTGAAGAAAGGCGTGAGAGAAAACACTTGGACATTTTGGAGAGAAAAGAAATTGTAAGCCCTTCACAGCCTTATGTCTGTGGCGTTTGTGGGCGCAAATGTAAGACTAATTTGGATTTGAAGAAGCATTTTAAGCAATTACATGAGAGGGAAAGACAGAAGAAGGTGAACAGAATGAGATCATTGAAAGGGAAAAAACGGCAGCGATATAAGGAGAGGTTTGTATCTGGGAATCATAAATACAATGAGGAAGCAAGGAGGTTGTTAACTCCGAAAATTGGGTATGGGTTAGCCGCGGAGTTGAGGAGAGCTGGGGTTTACGTGAAGACAGTGGAGGATAAGCCACAAGCTGCAGATTGGGCATTGAAGAGACAAATTGAGCATTCAATGAGTAGAGGGGTGGATTGGTTGGTTTTGGTTTCAGATGATTCGGATTTTTCGGAGATTTTAAGGAAGGCGAGGGAGGCCAATTTAGGCACTGTCGTGGTGGGGGATAGGGATAGAGCATTGGGGAGGCATGCTGATTTGTGGGTTCCATGGATTGGGGTTGAGAATGGGGAGCTGACTGAGAAGGATTTGGTGCCGAAAAGTAGGTGGAGGAGTGAGGATTTGGAAAATGATGGGGGGTTGTTTTCGGTTACGGATTTTGATGAGGATGGTGATTACGGGGGAAATGATTTGGAGGGATTTGTTGATGGACTTGTGATGGCGAGGTCTGGGTTTAATGGTACGAGGATTTCGGCTTTTTCAGAAGGGGAAGAGGAACATGAGCAGGATTATTTGTTATATGATAGTGAGTATGAGGAAATTGAATTTGAAGATGAGGGTTTTTGGTAATGGTTGAACATTGTATTTTAAGGGGCATTTCATTGTTTAGTAAAACCTAGGATGGAAACATAAGGGTATAGTTCAATTAATAGTATGGATGCAAGCAGCTGTTTAGTGGACTGTGTAGTGTTAGTTGTTGGCTGCCTAAGGAAGTTGCAGAATGAATAT